CTACTAGGAACAAGTGCATCGCTACTAGGAGCAAGGACGCTACTAGGAGCTAAGGCCTTACTACTAGTAGCAAGAAGCTACTAGTAAAAAGGGCATCGCTACTAGGAACAAGTGCATCGCTACTAGGAGCAAGGACGCTACTAGGGGCTGCTGGCCTTACTACTAGTAGCAAGAAGCTACTAGGAACAAGGGCATCGCTACTAGTTACTAGTTACTCCTCTCTGCAGCTTCGTTGCCGTGCTGGCGTCATGCATGTTTCTTACAGCACCTGAGTTGCTTGCCAATGGAATGATCCGCTGTTGTTACTAGTAGCTTCTTGCTACTAGTAGCAATGCCCTTGCTACTAGTAGCGATGCCCTTGTTACTAGTAGCTTCTTAATGTGCCACTGGAATGGAATGATCCGCTGTTGTAGCTTCTTATATCCGTCACATCCAATTTGAGGCCTCTGAAGCACAGCATGAGCTCCGTACAGCAAGGCGGCAACTGAAACTGTTTAACTTCGAACCTGCAATGAACCGACCTGTTTAAATGAGAATACACAAACCAATGGTATGCTTGCCATTCTTTCTGAGAGATTCATGCAAAACATTAAAAAAAAAACTACATGGATCGCTCAACCATCCTACACCTTGTCCACTACGTCCATTGCCCTTCTGACGTTAGTGAAACACACTGGATAGATCACAACTCATTGAACATGTATAAGGCATGTGATTTTGGCACTTCAAAAGCAAGGTTGGTTGTCAATATCAAGATGCAAACGTGTGCGAACTTGTGCTGGCGAGCCACAGGAGCCAAATGAGAAAAGGCGTTCGCGAATGTTATTATTGCTGTGGACTGCTGTGAGCATCATGACAAAAGAAGTCCATTTTAAAAACATCAAAAGGACAACAAAATATGTCATGCATTCTGTTCAGGAAAGGAAAAGAAAATGGACCTAAAGCAAGAACACAAAAGGGAGGAAATGAGAACATGTTCAAACATGGCCTCCAACCCAGTAGCGATGGCCTCCAACCTTAAGTTTCCCTAAAAATCTAGGAACATCTAGGAACCAAGTCACTAGTGCGAGCGCTATCCTGCATCCAAGGTAGTAGCTACTTGCAGGTAGTAGCTACCTCAGTTCCGACTAGCTACTTCCTAACTGTACTAGTGGCCTACTAGCGCACTGTTACTACTAGCTTCTTGTTACTAGTAGTAAGGCACTTGTTACTAGAAGCGATGCACTTGTTACTACTAGCTTCTTGTTACTTCCACTTCCCAAAAAAAGAATTAGCGCACCTTGCCCAAGGCCAGGGGCTCCGAGAGATCCACTGCCTTCACTTCACCACCTCCGCACGGAAGATCCTGCACGTTGCAACACCGAAACCATCGGTGACCGCACTGTATCCCATTGGTGTCCGTTGCTGGCCCGTTGTTCCTAGTAGCGTCCTTGCTCCTAGTTGCGCTTCTCCTTACTTCATGGGGTGTCACTAATGTGTCACTTGCAGAAACTACAGCCATGCCGCCAACTACGCCCAACGCTCACCTTTACACAAGGAGCCAATCATATAAGCGGCAGGTGACTCATTGGCCTTACTACTAGGGGCTCCTGGCCTTACTACTAGGAGCAAGGACGCTACTAGGAGCAAGGACGCTAAGGCTCCTTGTCTAGAAAGTCTGAAGTACTCTTCTAATTTATATGTTGTTTCTACTAGCTTCTTGTTACTACTAGTAAGGCACTTGTTACTAGAAGCGATGCACTTGTTACTAGTAGCTTCTTGTTACTAGTAGCTTCTTGTTACTAGTAGCCTTTTGTGTTGTCTAGAAAGTCTGAAGTTCGTGCGCTTCACGAGGGCTTCTGTCAGTGAGCATCATCAACGGTTGTGTCAATTCTAGTGTCTTGGGAACAACCATAAATAGGTTTCAGTTGCTACTTGCACTTTGCTCAGGCGTTGAGTTTTCAGACTCGCAACAGCAGTGTTTTTCCAGACTACTTGTAAGCGTGTTGTCAGATCTGACAAGTACACACTTGAAGAGCATGGAAGAATGCAAATGTCGGCCATGCACATAGCATGAAACGTGACAGTCAGTCAGCCTTCTCAACTCTCAATTTTGTCATGTGGGGTTCACACGTTGGCATAAAGGGACATCACTGCCATAGTCCTCCAGATGGCCAGGATGGCCACACGGCTCAAAGGCCTGGCATTGTGGCAAACTATTCAGAGCAACCGCAAGAGGCCTCCAACCTACTAGCGATGGCCTCCAACCTAGTAGCGTCCTTGCTCCTAGTAGCGATGCCCGATGCTGGCCCGTTGCTCCTAGTAGTGATGCCCTTTGCTCCTAGTAGCGTCCTTGCTCCTAGTAGTAAGGCCAGGAGCCCCTAGTAGCGTCCTTGCTCCTAGTAGCAAAGTTCACATCTTCCTTTGATTTCATTTGCCGTTTGACATGGTGCCTCTGAAGGCTGAAAAACGAAGAGGACGATCAAGACCTGAGGTAGATCGGAACAAACGGTTTGCACGTAGCGTGGTTTACACGTAGGGTGGATAACATGTTTGGCTGTGCTGAACACACGCGAACACAAAAATGAAAACGTGCGAGAAAAGGTGCAGAACGGTTGAAAAGTCACTTCAAAAGGATGCTAAAGCAAATCTCAGGCACGATTGTCCAAGCGACAATTACCACTGATCCAGCCTAGGTCTGGAAGGATGCATTGAGGACAAGCACTTGAACATATTTCCATTTTATGGCGCAGCAAATCAAGCCAAAACGGAGACGCTGCGTAAACTTTCAAAGACCCCTAACAACAAAATGTGTTTTTGCCAGCGGCTCGGTGATCGGAATTCCAAACGCCTTGCACAAGGCCTCCTTGATTCACAGCTGGCTGTTCTGCTCAATGTTCCACAGCTGGGTGTCGAACAGCTGTGAACCTTAAGCCGCTCAAATTCTTGCAGCACGTCAGGCTGCCCGCCACACCAAACCTCCAAGAGCAAAGAAGTAACGTGACCCCTCAGTTCTATGTCAGTGGCTCTAGCAAACAAAAACAAAAGGAATGCCATCTTTCAACACTCCTGGAAAGGTGTTTGGCGTTCGGTCTGATACTTTCACAAATTATCGATTAGCTATAAGGCCTTAGGGAGTTACAAGGCCTTCTTACTACTCGCGATGGCCTCCAACGTAAATGCGATGGCCTCCAACCTACTAGCGATGGTCCACCCTAATAGCGATGGCCTCCGAAACTGAAGGTGCCACTGAGATGATCTGAGGCTCCGGCCAGGAGCCCCTAATAGCTCCTTGCTCCTAGTAGCGATGCCAGGAGCCCATAGTAGCGTCCTTGCTCCTAGTAGTAAGGCCAGGAGCCCCTAGTAGCTTCTTGTTGCTAGGCTCCCAAACGCAAACAAGATCACCTCCCAACGATGCAATTGTCGAAGGCCGAAGAAGCTGAGAGCCTCAAGCAACAAGAGCGCTTTCGCTTTCTTCATGTCACAACATAAGTGGCCCACAATGGAAAGCATTCCAACTTGTTCGAACTGAGAAAAACAAATGGTTTCCTTCCCACATAATCCAAGCTGCTGGAGGCGCCAAGTCGCCTACAATAATCAAGTACGACGTGGCAACTCCAAAGCATTTGATCATGACGGCACTATCCTCGGCTCATGTGAGGCAAGTGACGTTTGTGTTTGTGCCATGCACATTGGAATGTTCCTATGTTACTCGTCCTACTTCATAGCTACTAGGCTACTAGCCTTATTTAAGCAAGTAGGCGCCTACATAATTAAGTAAGGTAGCTATTAAGTAGGACGCTACTAGCTACGGGGCACAGGATAGCTCACGTTTCTTCATGTGGGGAAAAATCACGTGCTTCTTCTTGAGCTTCCATAGCCCCTGGCCCGCATCCGCCAGCATTGTAAAGCAAAGCACAGGCGACAAAGGCTTTTTAGAGTAAGCAATAGTGTGAGTTTGCATGTGGCAAACCAAGCCACTTGACAGTATGGATGTTTCATATGTTTCATGTGTGTGGCCGTCACGGCCCGAATGTCCCATGTTTCCACCACTAGCGGTGGGTGATCGATCCTCGACGCCAATGGCCCCGTGAAAAGGGCGCGACTTCGTGCGCCGCCCGACAGTTCGAGTTCGAGAACTTCGTGAGTTTCGAGCTTCCACTCGGTCCCTTGCTCTCCGCAACCAGTGTCCGAGTGACATTGGTAGCGGAGCTACCTCGCTCCGGGTAGCTCCCTGCCGATCTCCGCAAAACTACATCATTTCCACCTTCAAAGCCCACTTCACCTTCCACGGAAACTGCACCCACAACCTTGTCATCTTCTTCACGCTCAGGAGCAGTGCTCACACCAGAGCTCTTTGACCTTGCTGAGCTCTACCGCACTTGCTCTCACCAGAGCTCTTTGTCCTGGAAGAGCCCTACTTCTCTTGCTGGCAAACCGAGCTCTTTGACCCTGACGAGCTCTATAGCACTTGTGGTGACACCTCCTTCAGCCTGAAGTATGGCTTCTACCACGACCACTGAAAAGAAGGTCGAGTTCGACAACCACTCGGCCCGGGATAGTTTCATCCCGCTCTTCGATGGATCCCTAACGGGATACCGCGAATGGCGGAAAAGAATCTTGATCTACTACAGGAAAATGTCCTTGTCAAAACGGCAGGGCGAAGCGATCTTGAACCTGCTGGGCAGCCTCTCAGGTACTGCATGGAAGTTGTGCGAAGATTTCAACCTGGACAAGGCAGAAGACCCAGAAGCTCTTCAAGAGATCTTGAAGATCCTGCACGGCTCCTTCCAGTACGACGCCAATGTCGAGATGCCTGCCGACTTCTCGTCCTACTTTGAGCATTTGGCTCGCAAGCCAGGTCAGACCTTGTTGAACTATGTGACGGATCACGACGACCGGCTGAAGCTAATCGAGAAGCATGGTGTTCGACTACCCAGTCAAATCCAAGGGTGGTTCCTCCTGGCTAAGGCCGCCCTGACACGTGAGCAAAAGCAGATGATCATGACACAGGCCGCCTCACTTGAACGAGCCAAGATTCAGCAAGCAATGTTTGCCATCCTCGGCCAAGACTACAAAGGTGGCGGTCAACTCCTCAGAGACCGCTGGAATCGTGCTGGGTCCGGCAAAGGTCGTTCATACTTTGCTGGTGATGACTCCGAAGCCTTCTTCGAATGGGATGACAATGCCCCGACCTATGAGGAGGAAGATGATGCATACTACATGGACGATGAAGAGAACTACGATGACCTGTGGTGGGAGTCCTTCGACGCTGACGCCGCCTACTACCAGGAAGAACCTGATGAGCACGAGCATGAGTTCGACACCGAAGAGTACGATGAAGCTTATGCCTCATACATTGATGCTCGCAAACGCTTCAATGACTTGAAGCTCAGCAGAGGATTCCTTCCTGTGGTAGCTCTCCAGGACTCTGGCCCTTCATCAAGTTCCACCTCCTCGCAAAAGCCTTTCAAAGGCATGGGAAAAGGGAAGAAAGGAAAAGGCAAAGGAAAGGGAAAGAGCAGCACTTATCGCTACGACCGACCTCCTGGAAAGCCTGCAGATCCTAAAGGACGAGCTCGCGCAGCAATGGCCCCAGCATGTATGCGATGTGGCTCAACCTCACACAAGACAGCTCAATGCACACAGACGAGCTCTACGCCTAAACCGGCGACTACGACAAGCGGCAAGCGCCAAGCAGTTGAAGGAATGGCCATCATGCAAGACGAAACGTCCCTGGTCATGCTTGAGGACTCCTTTGGCCATGAACGCCCTGACTGCGCTATGTTAGACCCTGGCGCTTCATCGTTCTTGATGGGATCAGGTCCCTTGGTCCGCTATGTCAACCACCTCCGGCAATTGGGCTATGACACTAACAAGATTCAACTGCAGCGCTGCCATCGAGTTTTTCACTTCGGTGGCGACCACCAGAAGGTCAGCTCTTGGGTAGCCAAAGTACCAGTCTACCTGCATGGACAACATGGATTGATCCAAGGCTTCGTCTTGTCCGGCGAAACTCCTATGCTGGTTGGAAGACCTGTGATTCGCGCCTTGGATATGACCATCGACTTCTCCCAGCAGAAGGTCAAGTTTGGTGATGCTGACTGGCAAGATGCTGTTCTCGGTCGCCACGAGGAGTATCTCCTTGATCTCACGTCCTCGTTTGAGTCCGAGCAGCTGACGTGGGAACCCTCCTTCGACCTTCAGCTCGATGAGAAGCTGGGCGACCCTGGTTCTATGGAAGACTTCTTGATGGAAGAGCACCTATACCAAGTTGAAGAACAGATGCCACCAGGGGACACGTCTCCTATGACCACCAAGCACTGGAAGACTTTGGTCATGCACACCCAAGCTCAGCTGAAGGCTATGAACACCTTGGTTGATCAGGCCATCAAACAAGAACATCAAGCTCCTCCTCGTGTCCTATGGGAAGTCTACACCGGAAGAGCTCGACTGTCGCAGATGGCTGAAGCAATCGGCATGACCGTCAAAACGTTCGGCTTTGAGACAGGATGGAACTTCGCGCTCCAGTCGCACCAGCGCGCCTTCCTGGAACTACAAGACCAAGAGATGCCGGACGAGATCTCCCAGTTGCGGTCCATGGTCACGCATGCAGAACATCTCTGCCACCTCCGAGCAGAGAAAAGAAGTACTTCGAGGTCTTCGAGAATGGCACCACAGGACCCACCTTCAGTTCTGCAAGCGAGTCTATCTGAAGCAGTTGCACTCAGGACGACATGGACACATTGAGCAGCCAACCTCAGCATTGTCTTGGGACACAGCAGCGCTTCACTCCTTGCCTGGCTATCGAGCACTACACCATCAATGTCAATATGGTGCTATGTGCATGGATGTTGATGGAGCATGGAAGCCAGCAAGAAAAGACACCACCATCCTGACTACCAAGCGCTCCGTTGCAGAGACGATGAACCGGCTATGCTCAGGTGATCATGAACATTGTCGACTTGAAGGCTACACGAAGGGACATGGTACACATCGCACCTCGTTCATGGAGGAGTACCAGCCCGCCTTCGCATCCACACTGGCTACTTCATTGGCCTGTTCAGAGAAGCCTCAACTCTGGGAAAGCTCCTTCGCGGTTCGTGAGCAGTCGCAATACCTGGGCAAGATCGTTGATCTTCATGCAGAAGGCAAGCAGAATGCTCTACGAGTTGTTCAGAAGCTCCACCGAAACCTTGGTCATCCTTCTGCTCAAGCCCTGGTCGACCTCCTTCAAGCCAGAGGCGCTTCGACGGATGTCTTGTCCGTGGCTGAGAACTACCTTTGCAGCTCATGCTTGCGCTACAAGAAACCTAATCAACCTGCACCAGCCAACGTGCAGAAGGCCGACCGCTTCAATCAGTCCATCCAAGCTGATGTCTTCTGGATTCGCACCGACAAGAAGGAATGGCCGATCATGGCCATCCTGGACAGTGCTACGAAGTATCAGGTAGCATGTCAGGTCCAGACCGAGCAGACCCAAGACTACATCATCTCCCTTGAGCGACATTGGATTGCTCACTTCGGTGTTCCAGAAGAGTTGGTGACTGATGAAGGTCGCGGCTGGCTTAGCAATGAGTTCATGGAATGGTCCGACAGCCACAGCATCAGTCACAAAGTTGCCCCTGGTGAAGCCCATGAACGACTTGGTCAAGTCGAACGAAGACATGCAGTTCTGCGAAAGGCCATCGAGGTCTACATGCACGACCTGAAGTTGGAAGGAAAAGAAGGCATTCGTCAAGCCTTGACTTACATCCTGCCTCAACTCAATGCTCAGCCCACAGTTGCTGGATTCTCGCCAACTCAATGGGTTCTCGGCTACCAACCTGCTCAACCTGGTTTACTGCAGTCCAGTTCTTGCGCCTTACATGAACACGAGACCTTCGAGAAGCATTTGCACCAGCGCAATGTGGCCAAGACTGCAATTCTCCAGGCAGAGACTGACCGGAAGCTGAGGCGAGCTCTCCTTCGACGCTACTCTGGCGTCAACCAACGGTTGCTAGCTGGCCAAAGATGCTTCTACTGGCGAGATGCACAACAACATGAGCTGTGCAAGATCCGATGGCGTGGACCTGCCAAGGTCGTCTGTGTCGAGGACAAAGATGGCAGCCCTCATGTCTATTGGTTGGCTCACAAGACACAACTCATTCGTGCTGCACCACATCACGTTCGACCAGACTTCACTGCCATCGAGGAGACCGCTGTTGAGAACTTGAAAGATGCTGCATCCACGCTCCAGTCATTGAAGTCAAGAGGCGTGACCAGATTCCTTGATCTGAACAGGGCCAACAAACAAGACCTACTGGATGTTGAAGAACATGAAGAAGAGATGTCTCCGGACGAAGGCCCAGATCAGAAACGCCGCCGACTCGGTGCAGCTATCGATGACTCCCTGGAGGATTACACTCCTTCAGAGCCAGCGGAACCCTCTGACGAAGTCGACACTCCGGGAAATCCATCTTTCCCAGCCGCTGCTCCTGCTGCCTCCACGGCTCCTGAACTTCCAGAACATCCAGCAGTACCAGAACACCTTTTACCGGCTGTTCCTGGACACCTGGATGAGATGTCCGACCAGCCGGAACCTTCGATTGAGCCTGAGCCTCCAAGTGTTCCTGCAACTCCGATGAACCTTGACCCTGTGACGTCGGAAGCCTACAGAACTCCAGTTGCCCCTGAGACCTTCGAGCAACAGCGACTTCGACTTGACAAGCAGGAAACCCTGTCTTTTGGTCCAAGACGCCCACGGCATCATGAGCAACCAAGCCCATATGCAAAGCCTCCTCACGAAACTGGTGAGATGGTGTTTGAAGTCCAGGACATTGACACAGCCAATCTTCCTCATGGCTGGACCTTCAACAAGAACAACAATTCCCTGGAGCTCAACCAAAAGTTGGCTGACTTCTGGGAAGTCAAGGGAGGATGCCTCATTCGCCATCATGTACGACCACGGTCAAAGAAGTTTCTTCCAGGCGATCAGACTGATCTTCCGGTGCCCTTGGAGAAACTTGATGATGTCAGAGTCACCATCTTTCGTGAGCCAGGACAAGAACCTTCGGCGACCACCGACCACTTCAAGACTGAGAATGTGTTCAAGAGACACTCCAAAGAAACCGCCAAAGGTCTACCGTCAAAATGGGTTGGATGCGCGATCTTTCAGATCAATGCCGTGACTAGCAAGGAACTTGGAATGACTGCAACCTTGTCCTCAAGCTCTCCCACATCCGTGAAGCCCATCCGGAAGGCCGCTCAGCACATGAAGAACCAGCAGCTCCGACACATCAAGAAAGAGAAAAGCAAGTCAGAGATCAGAGAAAAGAATCTCACATCTGCAGAGCAACAGCTGTTCTTCGAGGCCAAGTGCAAGGAGCTTCGCAGCTTTTTCGAATGTGGCGTCTGGGAGTTCACCACCTCAGACAAGGCTGATGCAGATCGAACCCTGTCAAGCCGAATGCTGCTGAAATGGGCGAAGAACCCTGATGGCACTCCTAGGGCTAAGGCCCGATTGGTTGTTCGTGGCTACAATGATGCCGACGCCTTAGCTGGCAACTTGGACACTCAGTCGCCTACGGCATCCAGATTGGCTCGCAATCTGCTGCTGTCCATCTCTGCCATGTTGAGATGGAGCGGATGGTCCGCTGACGTGGCCACGGCATTTCTTCAAGGACTACCTCAACAGAGACAGCTGTGGCTTCGACTTCCAAATGATTGCCTCCACATCCTTGGTTGCGGTCCTGAAACCCGCATGGCCTTGATCAAGCCTGTCTACGGCCAGTTGGACGCTCCTCGTCGTTGGTGGCAAGAAGCCACGAGAAGGCTGACACAAGAAGGGTGGACACCACATGACCTTGATCCATGTCTTTTTGTACTTCATCATCACTATGAAGATGGCTCCTCCGTTCCTTGTGGCCTGATAGCACTCCACGTGGACGACATGCTCGGAGCTGGTGATCGCAGTTGTCCCACCTACGTCGCAGCAGAACGACGCCTGAAGGAAGTTTTTGAGTTCAGAAGTTGGCAAGAAGACCATGAATCCATGGAGTACTGTGGCGTGATTCACAACCGCAAGGACTTCGCCTGGAACTTGTCACAAAGCCACTTCTTGCAAAAGGTGAAACCTGTAACTGTTCATCGAGGACGAGGCCCTGAAGATCCAATGAATGAACATGATCGAGGACAGCTACGAGCCCTCCTCGGAAGCTTGCAATGGCCCTCTGTCCAGTCACAACCGCATCTACAGGCTAGCTGCAGCTTGATCAGTGGACAACAGCGCACGGGAAAACTTCGTGCCATCATGGAAGCCAATGCCCTTCTCAAGTTCGCCAAGGAACAAGCTGACGTGACCTTGAAGTATGAACAACCACTCCGACCTCTCAAAGATCCGCCTGGTGGTGATGTTTGATGCCTCTCATGCAGCTCGGGAGGACTACACCTCTCAAGGAGGACACCTGGCGATCCTGGTCCCTGATGAGGTCTTTGAAAAGGAGACCCCATACCATGTGGTTGATTGGCGCAGCTACAAACTGCCTCGAGTTGCACGTTCCAGTTTGAGTGCAGAGGCTCAAGCAGCTGGTGGCGCCAGTGACAGTGCAGAATACATCTGCAGGTTTTGGTCAATCATCTTTGACCCAAAGCCCAAGCTTCGTGAACGACTACAAGAAGGTTCAGCTCTACGACCTACCTTGGTCACCGATGCAAAAGCACTCTACGATGCATGGCATAAAGAGACCACCACCTCCGCAAGTTCTTCAGTGGACAAGCGCACCTACCTGGAGATCAAGGTGGCTAAGCAGCAGACAACTGACCTTGAAGGTTGTCTCAAATGGGTCAGCAGCGAGAGACAATTCGCTGATGGTTTGACAAAGAGCTCTACAAGAAGCCTGTTGGCTGATCGCTTGAGGCGACACCGCATCAAGCTGGCCTGGGGTCCTCAGTACACCTCGGCCAAGAAAAAGAGCAAACAAGAACGCGAAGAAAGTCGGCAAGAGTTCGCCGATGCGAAAGTGAAGAAGAAGACCAACACGAAACAGCCCAAACCACAACAACACCACTTCAACTCCACCGAACACCTTGAAAGTGTGCAGGAAGAGTCGAGCTATGAGGATGAGAATGTCCTGCAGGATGAAGCCGCCGACATTGGACCTACATCATGGCCAAGTTCCAAGTCCTTGAGAACCTCAATGGCAATGATGATCTACTTCACCCAGATCAAGGCTGTTACGGCAGAGTCCACAGGTGACTTCACGCAGCTGAAGCCAGATGGTCTCTGTTTGGCTGGCGATGAGCCTGCTGAGGAATGGTCCATTTTGACTTACACGTTCCTCTTCATCCTCTTCACCACCCTCGTTGTGAGCTACCTGACCTACAAGCTGGGCAGATTTCATGAACACCGCCGACAGGTGAACGACCTGAAGGTCAAGTTGAGGGTGGCACAAGCTCGCAATGAGCGACACTTCGACAGTGCGTTGGATGACCAATGCCTGTTCTTCGACCGCCGCATCTCCCAGCTGGAAAACGATTTGGTGAAAGCTGCTGAGGCCAATGCGGAAACCCGCCGGCATCACAACGAGATGATGGAACAATGGCGCCTAGAACAGCAAGAAGCCGAAGAAATCGACCAGTCCTTTCGACAATGTCAGGCCTTGCTGTCGCGCTGCTACCGGGAACTCCTGGACCATTTTGATGAAGACTGCCCTCTCACCACGGGCACCCATGTGACGCCCTTCGGTCACACCTTCCACGTCCGAGCTGATTGCCATGGCCTGAAGCAGGCTCACCGTGTTGATCGACGTCCTTGTTGCGCTTTTTGCAACCCTACTCCTCAGACTCCTCACCGAGTCAATGGCTTGAGCGGTACCACACTCCAGGAAGACATGATGTCCTGGAGGCGAGACTATGGCAACCTGCCATATGAGGAATGGATGATCGACTAAAGTTTGAAGCTGGTGAGTTTCTTTTCATACACCTTTTACCGGTGTGAGTTTGCATGTGGCAAACCAAGCCACTTGACAGTATGGATGTTTCATATGTTTCATGTGTGTGGCCGTCACGGCCCGAATGTCCCATGTTTCCACCACTAGCGGTGGGTGATCGATCCTCGACGCCAATGGCCCCGTGAAAAGGGCGCGACTTCGTGTGCCGCCCGACAGTTCGAGTTCGAGAACTTCGTGAGTTTCGAGCTTCCACTCGGTCCCTTGCTCTCCGCAACCAGTGTCCGAGTGACAAATAGAGATTTGAGTCAAAAGGCCAGAGAAAAGGAACGTTTAAAGAAAATGTCAACTGTAGCAAGAAGCTACTAGGAGCTAGAAGCTTCCTTGGGAATCGTTTCACTGGGAATCGCTTCACCGGTAGTAACAAGAAGCTACTAGGAGCGTCCTGAAGATACTAGTAGAAAGAAGCTTTTTAGTAGGAGCAAGAAGCTACTAGTAGCTCCTGGCATCGCTACTAGTAACCAAGGGCATCGCTACTAGGAGCAAAGGACGCTACTAGTAGCGTCCTTGCTCCTAGTAGTAAGGCCAGGAGCCCCTAGTAGTTTCTTGTTACTAGTAGCGATGCCCTTTGCTCCTAGTAGCTTCTTGTTTCTAGTAGTAAGGCCAGGAGCTACTAGTAGCGTCCTTTGTTCCTACATGTGTTCGCCGCATTCGGGGGTCGATCAGCCAGGTCCACTGCGGCGCCACAGCGTTGGAGACCTCGGACGGGTGAAAGCCGCCGGATCGGCGTTTCGCTTTGCCGGTGTAATTTGGGTCCAACCTACTAGCGATGTGTCATCCTTGCGTTCTTCTTGTTTTTCCGTCTCTTTGTAGCTTGTGGTTCCCTGTGTGTCCTTGAAACGGTGGCATTGGTAAATTGGGTCCCGAGCCGTATAGAAGCTGCAAGGAGCTTGACCGATCCTGTAGAATGCGCGGAGTGGTGAAGCTTCCCGGCTACTGGTAGCGTCCTTGCTCCTAGTAGCAAGGCGAGGAGCCCCGAGTAGCGTCCTTGCTCCTAGTAACAAGGCCAGGTTGC